CCTCACGTATGCTCATGTGCACTTTAGCATCAAAACAGAAAGGCTGTTCAAGTGAGTGTGCACTCAGACATTCCTCCAGCGTGCAAGAGACAGGCACAAACACTGCACTGTTGCGCTGCGTTTTGGTTTACTATTTGATTGTGCAAAAACCTCCCTAGTGATAGTTTCACTACAGGTGCTCCAACACCTAGTGTCTGAAGCTTTAAACACCACCACCTCTCATTCTGCTCTATGGAGTCTGATCTTATCCCATAATCCTCTGTGTATCTCCAACGATCAATTCTGCTGCTATGCTATGGATCTTCTACCCATATCTAGACATTGAGCTCACTACCTGCTCCCAAACTGTGAGCCTGCTACATGTACTGGGTCTATAAGGCAGATAGCCACTTCTAAGCCATGAGCCTGCCACCTGCACCTAGAATGTGACTCCACTACCTGCTCCAAACCTAGACTGTGGGATCGGTACCTGCACCATGGCTGTATGTGAGCTTGTTAACTGCTTTGGGGTTGTATGTGAGCTCACTACCTGCACCGAGGCTGTATGTGAGCTCACGACCTGCACCGGGGCTGTATGTGAGCTCACGACCTGCACCGGGGCTGTATGTGAGCTCACTACCGGCACCGGGGCTGTATGTGAGCTCACTACCTGCCCCGAGGCTGTATGTGAGCTCACTACCTGTACCAAGGCTGTATGTGAGCTCACTACCTGCACCGAGGTTGTATGTGAACTCGCTACCTGCACCGAGGCTGTATGTTAGCTCACTACCTGCACCGAGGCTGTATGTGAGCTCACTACCAGCACCGGGGCTGTATGTGAGCTCACTACCTGTACCGAGGCTGTATGTGAGCTCACTACCAGCACCGGGGCTGTATGTGAGCTCACTACCGGCACCGGGGCTGTATGTGAGCTCACTACCTGCCCCGAGGCTGTATGTGAGCTCACTACCTGTACCAAGGCTGTATGTGAGCTCACTACCTGCACCGAGGTTGTATGTGAGTTCACTACCTGCACCGAGGCTGTATGTGAACTCGCTACCTGTACTGAGGCTGTATGTGAACTCGCTACCTGTACTGAGGCTGTATGTGAGCTCGCTACCTGCACCGAGGCTGTATGTTAGCTCACTACCTGCACCGAGGCTGTATGTGAGCTCACTACCTGTACCGAGGCTGTATGTGAGCTCACTACCAGCACCGGGGCTGTATGTGAGCTCACTACGTGCACCGAAGGCTGTATGTGAGCTCACTACCTGTACCAAGGCTGTATGTGAGCTCACTACCTGCACCGGGGCTGTATGTGAGCTCACTACCGGCACCGGGGCTGTATGTGAGCTCGCTACCTGTACTGAGGCTGTTTGTGAACTCGCTACCTGTACTGAGGCTGTATGTGAGCTTTCTACCTGCACCAAAGGCTGTATGTGAGCTCACTACCTGCACCAAAGGCTGTATGTGAGCTCACTACCTGCACCGGGGCTGTATGTGAACTCGCTACCTTTACCGGGGCTGTATGTGAACTCGCTACCTGTACCGGGGCTTTATGTGAGCTCACTACCGGCACCGGGGCTGTATGTGAACTCGCTACCTTTACCGAGGCTGTATGTGAGCTCACTACCTGCACTGGGGCTGTTGGTGACTAGCTCTGCAAGCTGAACGGAGCTAGGCTTCTGGAGGCTAACTGTGGTTACACACTGGGTAAACTTTAAATGTACCAAGGAAAAGGTTCTAAAAACATGAATAGCTACAAAAAACACCCATGATCAAGCCACAAATCGAAATAACCGCTGCTAGTTCCAGATGGCGGAAGTTACAGTTTTATTTGAACACGGCTTCTCTCCGTCTGGTAACCACATGTTGAAATAGTGTCTGGTTTAACACTTGTTACACTTCCTCCATGCAGCAACAACAACCTAAAAGCTCATTTCAGCAATATGATGCTCAGGTATACTCCCTCTAGCATGTAAGCTCATTGAGCAGGGCCCTCAACCCCTCTGTTCCTGTGTGTCCAACTCGTCTGGTTACAACTCCATGTCTGTTCGTCCACCCATTGTAAAGCGCTGCAGAATTTGATGGCGCTATATAAATAATAATAATAAACGTGGGAAATTCACGTTATTTTGGATCGAGCCCCATCACATAAACCAACAACCAGCCTGCAGCATTGTAATTACTGATAGAGTACTCAGAGTAAAGAATAACTGTGAACTGCAACATTCTGAGCTGGGAATGCTATAACAAGCTTATTAAAATATACTTAAACATATCTATAATTTCCTTCAATTAACAAGCAAAAGGATGTAGCCTGATGTTATATCTGCATAATACAGTATTTTTACTGACAGAAGGGGGAAATGAAAGTTGGCCCAATTTATTCTATTGCTGGAGATAAAAGTCTATGTATAAATTGCAGACACAGGCCGGTTCACAGTGTCAGTCTGATGGATTGAAAGCTTGTGCAATATTGTGCAAGAAAGCAAAGCTGTGGGGAAATAAAACATGGCTATGGGTGGACCACATCGTAGCTCAAGATATGTGATCACAAGTCAGTTATAAAAAAAAACCCAACAACAAAAAGTACTTGGTTATCCATTAAAAGGAGACCTCTTATGTAAAGAATGTGCACAGAATGGCCTCTCACTGACTTCCTCCCCAGTGTCTCACAAGCCTTTGATTAGAAGAAAGGGTGGTATATTTATAACAAAGGACATTATTTTATTAAGTAAGAGCAATAAAGAGGTGGAATTTCCCGCCTGGGGACTTGGTGTCCCTTTAAAAGGGAACATTATGTAAAGAGCATTTTGGAGAGATGCAATCAAGAAGATTCCCCCGCCATGCCCATCCTCAGGAACCCACTGTGCTCCCTCGACTCCTCACCGAGTACCAGAAGAAAGGTCTTTAAAACTCATTGATGGGGATCTTTGTTTCTCTTCTTTGTAATCAACAAAAAAGGAATGTAGAAAGATCTGATAGATGCTTTACATTCTGTGTAAATATGTGAGGAAAAAGAAGACCACCAATGGAAAAATGTGGGTACTAGATCGGGGCTATACGTGCATGTATCCATAGGTCTGGGCTATACGTGCATGTATCCAGAGATCTAGGCTATACGTGCATGTATCCTTAGATCTGGGCTATACATGCATGTATCCATAGGTCTGGGCTATACATGCATGTATCCATGGATCTGGGCTATACATGCATGTATCCATAGGTCTGGGCTATACATACATATATCCATAGGTCTGGGCTATACGTGCATGTATCCATAGATCTGGGCTATACATGCATGTATCCCTAGATCTGAGCTATACATGCATGTATCCATAGATCTGGGCTATACATGCATGTATCCATGGCTCTGGGCTATACGTGCATGTATCCCTAGATCGGGGCTATACGTGCATGTATCCATAGCTCTAGGCTATACGTGCATGTATCCATAGATCTGAGCTATACGTGCATGTAGCCATAGATCTGAGCTATACGTGCATGTATCCCTAGATCGGGGCTATACGTGCATGTATCCATAGATCTGGGCTATACGTGCATGTATCCATAGATCTGGGCTATACGTGCATGTATCCATAGATCTGGGCTATACGTGCATGTATCCATAGATCTGGGCTATACGTGCATGTATCCATAGGTCTGGGCTATACGTGCATGTATCCAGAGATCTAGGCTATACGTGCATGTATCCTTAGATCTGGGCTATACGTGCATGTATCCATAGATCTGGGCTATACGTGCATGTATCCATAGATCTGGGCTATATGTGCATGTATCCATAGATCTGGGCTATACATGCATGTATCCATAGATCTGGGCTATACGTGCATGTATCCATAGGTCTGGGCTATATGTGCATGTATCCATAGATCTGGGCTATACATGCATGTATCCATAGATCTGGGCTATACGTGCATGTATCCATAGATCTGGGCTATACATGCATGTATCCATAGATCTGGGCTATACATGCATGTATCCATAGATCTGGGCTATACGTGCATGTATCCATAGATTTGGGCTATACATGCATGTATCCATAGGTCTGGGCTATTAATCAGTCCTGCAGGTTTCTAATTGATAGGGATTGTATACATTTATTCATACTCTTGTATATTTTCTGATGATATTACATGTACTATCATAGGACATCCCAAACTTTCTGTTGTGGGCACCGTTACCCGATTTTATACTACCACCATTTGTGCAGGAGCTCTGAGAAGGGTCCCTAAATTGCTGTAGAGGCCCAGCAAGGCACTTCTGACTCCTATCGCTGCACTGAGTTTGTAAATGAGGGAGACACAGCTAAACAGCAATCCCAGAATCCTTGCTTTACCTATCTGTTGTAATGATTTCTTTTTTAAAGCAGCTTCCCAGGTTAGGTAGTTCTTTCGAATAGGTGGTGCTGTGCTGCCCACGCTGTGAAGGGTCTGGTCTTGGGGTCTCCCAAGTGTTTCACATTCACATTTGCTGAGTAAACTCGCACATGGTCCAATAAAAATAAATACAGTCACAGCTCGGTGAGAGTTTAGGAAAGCCAGGCTTGCGGTTTCGGATTGATGTAGGGCTTGCAGTTAATGCCTTGACAGCTACTCTTCAACATTATAGCCAGAATTTAAAGAACAACCCTTAATGGCTTCTAACCTGTCGTCTAGTGGTAGAATCCCAAGCTGCAAGGTTCCTCTGCATGTGTCCCCACACAGTGTTTGTAAAGTGTCCCTGTAAAAGGTCCATCAGTTTGTCTAACACACTCGTTTGGGGGCTCTGATTAGGCACAATTTGATATTAACCTAACACCCCTAGAATTAGTCCAAGTGTTTAAATCCCACGTTGGACATTTCAGGCAATCAAGTCAGGGGTGGTAAGATACCACTCATGCAGGGAATAGTGATGTCCCGAACGGTTCGCCACGAACGGTTCGCCACGGACTCATCATTGAGTAAACTTTGACCCTGTACCTCACAGTCAGCAGACACATTCCAGCCAATCAGCAGCAGACCCTCCCTCCCAGACCCTCCCACCTCCTGGACAGCATCTATTGTGAAGCTGCATTCTTAGTGAGCTGTCCAGGAGGTGAGAGGGTCTGGGAGGGAGGTCTGCTGCTGATTGGCTGGAATGTGTCTGCTGACTGTGAGGTACAGGGTCAAAGTTTACTCAATGATGAGTCCGCGGCGAACCGTTCGTGGCGAACTATTCGGGACATCACTAGCAGGGAATCTGGGGGGTTACAATTACTGAGCACCTCAAACGTTATATCTGGAGGAAAGGCCCAATTCAATTAACAAAATGGGAGATCATGCTTTTATCCAATACTGTGCATACGACAAACCTATGACTTTTTGAGATTAAATCTGAGGAAATAATATGCTACACCATACATTAAAATAGTAAAACAATAATGAATCTTTGTACAGCATATATATTTCCAAAACGCTCTTTGAGAAACTGCCCAATCGCCTTTGTGTAATTAAAATGTAATGCCACTGGGGATTATAAATGTAAAGTATACGAGATGCACAGACGTTATTCGCGTTAGACTTTTAGAAGCTAAACAACCTCCATCACAGAGAAGGTTAACGTAAAACGAATGCCCCGCTGACAGGTGTGAAAGTCACTCGCAGATGTCTAGGGTTTCATTGTAGTTTCTACAGATTGCAAACTGACGTCAGGATTTGCTAATCAAACACAAGCCATGCAAATATTGCAGCTGCAGAGTAAAGAATTCGTCCTGTGGGCCGGGGATAGTGACACAGAAATGGCTAATTTAAATGGAAACCACCTGCCTCATAATGCTGAACTCACCGCTTTTATAGCTACACCAGATAAACAAGGCTGGAGAGGTTTATGTTTCGTGTCACGCAGCGTCCTATAAAGTCCTCTCCAAAAAAACATACCATAAAGGGTTTAAAGGCCTATAAAATAACGATTGCTAGATTGAAGAAGATATTACTAAAAACAATTAACATATAATACATATTTTTGTAAAACAGTAATAAGCATATACTCTTACTGAGTGATAAATACAAATTAAATGTTTGTATTTCGGAGGAAGTTGGCGCGTGGCTAAAATGCCTATTATCCCACACATTAAAAACTAGTTTAGTATCGATTGCCATCTATGGGTTTATACTACGAACACATTGCATGTTATTAATGGTGGTTTGTCAGGATAAAGTATTTACTAAATACTGCTGAGATGAAACACTTTTGTTTGTTTGCGTTTATAAGATCCCTTGCAGAATTTAATGTTTCCGAACAGGATAACAAAATGAGCTTCCTGGTAATGTCAAAGCAGCCGCTAATTCTCCTCTAGGAGTTCCAGAATCTTACGCTTTTTAAGACAGGGGATGTGCAGCCAGCAGGAGATTAACAAACAGGATGTTATGAAATGTGATCAGCCTCACAGGACGATAAAACTTCTATTAACAAGCGAGTCAGATAGAGAGCATGGGACGTTGTAAAAATGTTGGCAGTTTATACAATGGGCTGCCTCTCATGAGAGGTGGGTGTAAAACAGGGAATTCAATGCTTGCAATAGACAGGCCTAGTTTCATCTAGTTAATAATGTTTGTCAGGGTCCGACACAACAAAACATGTGATTGATGGAACCAGAAACATGGAAAGTATCCGTGACTGCGATTTGAAGATCATCTAAAATGGAGAGGGATCTAGCATCTCAGGACCATTTCGAAATAGTAGACCAGAAAACAGAATGGACAATGATTGAGAATCTCTGGACCAGTTCCAAATCAGATAACAGTAGAATGTAGAAGGGTCTAGGATACTAGGTCAAGTCAGTTAAGGGTGGAGGGAAACAGATTGGAGAAAAACTAGAATACCAAAAAGACAAACAATGTATTATAAAAAAAGAAAAACTAGGATTTTGGGCCATATCCTCAGAATGGAGAAGATATAAGAGTCCAGAAAGATAGAAAGGATGTAGGATGACAGGACCAGATCAAGTCATGACAGAGGGTAACGTGAAAAATAACAGAATTTGGGCTCAAGGTACTAGGTCATTTCAGGTTGGGTTATAAAAGAATGGCGAGAATATAAAAGCTCTGATTTAGATCCAGATGTAAAGGATTGTTAAAAAGATCAAAGATCTGAAGAGATGATCTACAATCCCAGAATCTGGTCTACTAGGGGCAGAGTTTAAAGGAATGGAGGTAATCGGGCATCCTGTGAGCAAACAAATTCAGAGCAGAATATGAAGGAACGGAGGTAATCTAATCTGGGATCCTGGGACCAGGTCCACTCAGGATAGAAGGTTCAGGACTGGAAAGCAGACTGATCCAGCTAGCTCCAAAAACAAATGCACGACTCAAAACTCAAATGCTTGGTCAGCTGGTTGGCCATACAATGTGCTCCCAGGGAGGTAGACTGTAATGACCATAGAGAGGTAGAAGCTGACTATCCCTGACTGGAGATAAAACCAGGGACCCCAGAACATGTTTTGTGCTAGGAGTAGGTTTAGCGTGCCAGCTCCATCTGCCACAGGGTAGGTCGGATGATGTTTCTATAGGAAAGAAGATCTCTAGGGGACACAGTGTGGATGCACTTGAAAATTACATTAAATAATGCATATCTCTGCCAGGTCACTCCCGAGAGAGGTTTCATCGTAACAAGGAATGAGTCGACTCGTCTAGAGCATCCGTGGTAGATCTATCACCGGATCACAGTAAGGAATTCACCCTAAATGATGACAGCCCCAGGCAGATGCCACCCAGCAGAGGTGGTATAAGATTGGAGAGTGACAAAATACGGGGTGAATATTTCACTTATATACCGTGGGTTTTACAGAGAACTTATGGAAAGTTGGTGATGTAGGAGTTCTTTCAGGGAAGGGAAGCCCAGTTCCAGACACCAGTCTGCTGACAGAACAATACAATGCTTCTATTGTTTACACTTATTTACATTTACCTTACAAACGAAACAGAGACAAACACACACCTAGGCTGTTGCTCCAGGTGAGAAACTAGCTACAGTATTCTAACCAAGACAGTCAGTGCCTGGAAACACACCATACAGTGACACAGAGTACCTATTCCCAGAATACTCAGCCAAAAGGAGAGTCCGAGGCACTCAGTATTGTGTAATGCCTGGGATTTGTTGAAACTATTGAGACTGGGAATACAGCGAGTAGGAATTCACAGAATTTGTTTGCCTCCTAAAACCGGTTACAACCTCTTTATACAGAACTCCTGCCAAAATGTACACCTCTCCCCATCCAGGTGCAGTCACTAGAACACAGAGCTGTACTGAGTACATGATACATATCACCCAATCCTCACATGTGGAAACCCAGGTCTGAGAGCTGGTAGAGAGCAGAACTTACCCTGTCAGCAGGTGGCACAGCTTGGTGTCCAAAGGGTTAAACACAGGCTATTCTCAGGGCAGTACAGAGAGAATTAGCTGTGGTGCTGGCTGCTTGTGGAAGGAAAAGTCAAAAGGGGTGGCACTAACTTCCATCCAGTTGTAACTTGCCCAGCCCCTGTGATAATAAATAACAAACAGAGCGTGAGCTCTATTAAAGAGACAGAGTCCCCAGGCACATTACTCGCATGCCATTGCCACAGGGGTTGTGGCTGCATGGAACAGCTTCCACAAAGGGGTTGGGCAGGTGGGCAGGCATTCAAATGTCATCATACTCACATGCAACAAAGACAGGGCAGTGGTTTTACAGATCAGCCTTCCAGCAGTGGTAATAATGTTACAGGAGCTTGTATTAATTCAATCTGCTCCACAAGCAGCGGATTTACAGATCAGCCTTCCAATAGAGGGTGTAATCTTAAAGGATCTTGCATCAATTCCAAATTTCTCCAACAGGACAGTGGACTCGCAAGTTCAGACTTGGCAGAGCTAGCAATGTCACCATAACCCCCACTACTCCACAAACAGAGAAGTTGAAGCAAGGATCAGCCTTCCAGAAGAGGTAGTAATGTCATATGAACTATCAAAACAGATTTCTGAATCACCCTTCCAGAAGAGGTAGTAAAGCAGCCTGCATTCATTCAATAAGAATTTAAGTTTCATATACAGGGCAGTTGACTCACAGATCAGCCTTCCAGCAGAGGTAGTAATGGTAATGGAATTTGCATAATTCCTGTGTGTGTACAAGTTTCATAAAGAGGGCAGTGCTTTCAGTAAACCTCCTACCAGCAGAGCGTTTAAAGTTCCATATAAATAAAGGCTTCCCGGAGAGGGCAGCTGATCCAGCTCAGTGGTGCAAGCTTAACAAACTCCCAGTGTGTTCCATCCTCGGATATTCCCCACGTTATCGATGATTCATTTCCTCTATTGATAAGCCAGTTAGAGTTACCTGTCCGAGTGGGACCAGCTAGTTCATGGATTCCTGCTGACTCCTGTACTAGTCACACATTCCATAGCTCTGACTGATAAACTGGAGCAGGAATCAGCTGGCTGCAAGATCCAGGTCTCTGGGCCTGTGACTCCCAGCTGAGCGAAACTGCTGAAAGGTATAATTTAATGACAGGCACATTGCAGAGTGCTGGAGGCATGCTCACTATGGGGAAGGAGAATAGTGAATTGACCAGGTAACCAAACAAAAGAGCTCCCTGGGGCTTCCATTACAAAACAAGGCACACACAGGTATTGGACCCTGACACAGAGAGGGCTCATTATACAGTATCCACGAGATGGACATTCCATACATTCTTGGTAGGATAATGTAATCAGCATTTCAATTCATTTACTAGGAGCCCTGATACAGGTCCAAAGGCCAATCTACCTGCCAAAGAGACCATGTGCTTGCCCAAAGCTTCAAATATTAGCCAACATGGGCATTTATTTGCCCAACAGCCCTCACACATGCTAAAGGCACTGCTCACATTAATTTAGAGACACAGACACACATACAGAGAGACACACACACACGTACATACAGAGACACTCACAAATACATAGAGACACACAAATACATAGAGACACACACGTACAGAGACACACACACACACACAAACAGGCACAGACACACATATAGAAAATGTTTCCTACCTTGTGACTTTCCGTGGGGGCTCAGCCTGATGGGAGTCAGAGTTCCCCGGTCGTGCCTGCGACCCCTGCAACCGCGGTACGT